TTCATGCTGTAGTCATTACTACTCTCCTTGCACTCTTTGCACAAGGGGTTACTGCTGGCCCTCAACTGGTTAAATGTAGTGATTGTGTCAACGCCGGACATACAGTAAGGCTATCATGGAATTCTCTTATAGAGCTATTATCTAATATGTATTATAGTGTAGAGGGGGTACTGCCTGCTATAAGTCTGATGATGGGACATTGTTTTGCGCGGGAGCGGGTCAGTTTAGTCCTCGTTGTCCCTAACTCTAGACGAGCTGAACTGCTGTTGGTAGTGTGCCGAGGCACAGGGTCACCATGACCCTTGTGCTAACAAAGCACTGCTTACCTTCAAGAAGGAACATAAATTGATAGTCAAGTCTGGAGGAAAAAAAAACCAACAATATCTCTTAGAAAAATCTCTTGCTCGAAGAACCAACTACATATATTTTACTCCCTCTCCCCTCTCCCATAGCCTATGGGAAGGGGAAGAACCTTTAGTTCTGTTCCCTCTACTAAGAAGACATTGCAGTTCCACACAACTCCTCTATAAATGGCGAAGCCCAAGGGGCTGCGTTCAACTCCTTAGTGGATAGAACAGCTAATGCACACTAACAGCAAAGATAAGGAAGATGGCAACACTACTTAGGGTAGTAGTGGGAGTGCCTCTAACTCTGAGAAGAAGAACCGGAACCTGTCGGGAAGAAAAGAGAATAAGGTTTACCTAATTTATTTTGAGTAAGCAGACACGTGTTGTTAGTATAACAACTAAACCGCCTTAAGAAGAGAAGTATAAGCAAAAGTTCAACCCTAACAACAACTTCGAGTTTTCTGGAAACCGCTAGGAAAGCACGATATCTAGGAGAACCAACCACGAGGAATTGACTAACAGCACTTTCAACACCTACAGCTAAGGCGCTAGCGCGCAGTAGAGAGAAAAAGGAGGCCTTCTTTTATTTTCTTACGCCTGTGAGAATTTTCTCACAGAGCTTAGGCTCTAATGCCAAGACTAGAGGGGCCAATAGGAACGCAGGAGCTTATCAAAGCTTAAATTGAGTAAGAAACACAGACATAACGTGTTTTATCAGTAAGCGGCCCACATTAGTAAGTGGCCCACCCCACCAAACCTGACGCGATACTCTCCACAACCACCACTATGCCGCGATAACAACGCTTTGTATAGACTTCTTGTAAAGGTAGAGTTCTTCTAGCATCTTGCGCGCTTTAAGAAAAACGTATTATAAGCTAGCGCTAAGCTGCTATACTATACAACGCTCTACGAACAACGCTCTAACGACGCCTCTATAGTACTAAGCCACAATTAGAGATAGCCTCTATTAATTATAAGCTATTAGCTATTAAAGAGTAGTCTCTTATTTGATAGATTATAGAGCTAGATTAATAAGGCTTTCCGCCCTATATTATTAACGTGCGATAGATGGCAGACGCTCTACTTACTGCGCGTGGCTAAGATCCACCTCTATAGCCTATTAGTAGATGCTAGGTGTCGCGCTTTATCTAGAGCTAGCTAGAGCTTTAGATAAAGTAGACTAGACAATTTTATAGTTAGCGCGCCTCCTATAAAGATTCTATCGCGATTATAGCCTAGTTTAAGCTAGTAGAGGAGACGCGCTAGACGTACGGCGTCCTAGACTAAGACATCTACAACTTTAACGAGACTAGATTCGCAATAGGCGTTGCTAGCACGTTAAAGGTAGTTATAAGCTCTAATAAAGTCAGCAAAGTAGTTGCTATATAGCTAGGCAATTATAAGTAGGTTATAACAATTAAGTGCGTTAACGCGTCTAGCTAGTGTCTACTACTATTCGTGATCCTGTCTAGCAAGGCCTACTAGAGTAGCTAGTACCTTAATCTCCCACTAGACTAGGTTATTGGCGTTTTTAACAATAGCTAGACGACTAACTAGCTTAGCGTAGACTAGGTAAAGCATTTTAACTAGCATATAGCGGCTCGTATAGCTAGAGTCTATTAGCTTTTTATTCTAGATAGCCACAGCAGCTACGCTACCCTAGAGTTTAACTAGTACTACGCTAAGAATAAGATTATTACTCTCTACATGCCGCCTTACACGTCGCATCTTCTTTAGCTGCTTAATATAAGCTACTTCTTGCTGCTTAAGCAGGCGTACGAACGTGAGATTAAGAAGCTCGCCTACTAAGGCGTCTACTATATTAACAAGATAGACTTCCTTATAGTCTATTAATAGATCTAGCTAATAGTATTCACGCAGCAGAATATCTAGGTAGGCTTCTAGGCGACAGGCTTTGTCCCTCCTTATCTAGATCGCGTCCTATCGTCGCTTATAGTGGCTAGGACACCGTCTCTACTATAGACAACTATAGATAATAACGCTGCTATGCAGACAGCAGCAGCGCAGACAGAGACGCCACAAACAGTAGCAGAGCTTTAGCAGAAGGTGCGCTATCTCTAAGAGCGGCTACGCTAGAGATTAGAGAGCCTAATAAGTATTATAATACGCTAGCTTACTAAAAGCGCTTAGCTTATAATATAAATAGTAATAATACTTATAAAGGAAATTAAGAAGCTACGTAAAGAAAACTAGCGCTAATAATAAAAGCAGGAGCGGTAGCGTTAATATATCACTTCTAGTAGGGTGCTCTAGGTCTAACAGGCTTAGTAGATTATTGCAGAGGCAGAAAGGCTGGTAATAGGGGGTAACTAGAACCAGACTAGCGAGCGACGTTAGCGCGCGCTGCTAACGTGCACGAAGTGCCAGGTTTAAGAATATACTTCGACTTTATATAAAGCTAAATAAAGAATAATATCTTTTAATTTAATTGAATTTTATTAAGTTACTGTAGAGCAATTAAGTAGAGCGTCGCGTTGGGTTTGGTAGGGTGGGCCACTTACTAATGTAGGCCGCTTACTAATAAAACACGTTATTAAAACAATAAAAATAACAAAAAAAGACTAGCCTCAAAGGACCTTAGAGGCACAAGCAAACGACTAATGGATAATAATCTAGAAATTCAGATGGCTAAGGAGGCCTCTACGCCTTGCCCTAATAGGCAACTAGAAGAACCGCCTAGGCCTACCTATACTAGGACAAGAAGTAATTTCTCTCCATTTATTAGAGCAGTGCCAAGATACCCTACAGTAGGGAAAACACCAAAGGCAACCTCTATTAAGGAGGCCTTAGAGATTGCTAGAAACCTAGTAATCTAAGTAGCTAACCTAGCTAAAAACAACCTTACTAGGTAAACTAGTTTACTAGACCTTATAGAAGTCTTTAGAGACTTTATAGAGAATAGTAGAGTAAATAAAAAAAACTCTATAATTCTAGAAGACTAAATCTCCTCTCTATCTAACGTCTCTAAAGAACTAAGAGAGAAAGTTAGACGCCTTAAAAAACCAAATACCCCGCCTACCTAACATTAACCTTAGCCCCCTAGCTCCTACGCAATAGTAGCAGCTAGTAATTAAGAACAACCTTAGATATATATCTAAAAAAAACAAAACCAAAAATATATAGAAAAAAACACCTAAAAAGACAACTAAAAAAAGACTACTAGCCTATTAGATCGCTAAATTGCTCTAGTTAGCGATATACCTACTATATTTAACGCTCTAAAAATTAGAAACGCCTTTAACAAAGCCTTTACAACAAAAGGAGGAGTATAATCCCTAGTAGTAGCCTTAGTAACACCTTTAGCAAAAGGCAATAAAATAGTTACTACCACCCTAGCTTTTTTAGCAAAATACCTTCTAGAAAACCAAGAGATCTAGAAGGATATTATTGTAAGAGGCTACGCCTAAAGTGTGTGTGTGATCGAGTATATCTATACGACTACCTGGACTTCAAGAAGCTTGAAGTCTTGTTACTGCCTTTTTGGCTATGGATGGCGTAAGTAGTCGTACGCTCGGCCCGTTGGGCCCGCCCATTACAATTATAGAGTTTAAAGCAGCCCAACCAATCACCCTTTGGTTCAAAGTAGTTATCCACAAACTACTAACAAACCATAGCCTAGAGGTCCTAAAGGAGGAAATTAAAATCTTTAATAAAGGCCTAAAGGTAGTAGGCAACCCCTTCTAGCTAACACTAGAATCTAGAAGAGAAAACTAAAACTTTAGATCCGCTTGCGTAGCTTTTGCTACAGAATAAGAAGCCTAAAGAGCTATTAGGGGAAAGCTCTATATTCTAGGGCAGAGCCTTAGAGCAGAGAAACTAAGAGTTATTAATAACTCTAAATAGTGCTCTAAATGCTAAGGTTTTAGGCACCTAGAGGCTAAATGCTCTAAAAGTAGCCTGCTAGATCTG